CGGCGCTGGCTAGTTACGCCTCCGTGATCTCTGGGGGCGAGGCGGGCTCCTTCCGAAATGTGCACTTGGTCTCCCCACAGAGCCGAGCAGCAGAGCAGATGCTGCTGATAAAATTAACAGGGGCGTTCTTTGCATTGCCACGCCCCTGGGGACCCCTGCTTCTGAACTAGGATTCCATTGTGCTACATGCTGCACAGCTCGTCCTAGGAACACATCACATCAATATCAGTATGGTCACGTTTGTGTGTCCATGTGTGAAACTACACTAATGGGGACAGAGGTACTCTAAAATGTCAGCTATCCCCTCACCACTTTCATAATAATCCCTCCTATAAAAAGGGGAGGCTATACAAGTGCTATGTATTTAAACTGCATTGCTTTCTGTGCTGGATATTTTGTATAGAACTAGGATTGTTCAGAAATGTTTCTCTGTAAAATCTATGGCCCATTTGTTTCCAAGTTATTCGGCTTAAATGCAGTTCATTTCATTAACTAGGAATTGGGTATACTTAAACCTAACCACAGAAATTTCTGCTCACAATACATTTGTTATCTAGGACTGGTCTTAGTGAGCTTTAGCGTGACAGGTTTAAATCTGTAACATAAATACAGTTTGTGTGGGTTTTTTAAAAATAAAAATAAACATGAATCCATTCACTGAAGTTTTCTGTTGGTTTCCAGAGAAAAAATAAAAAACGAGTTCCAAGCTTTCGCAAGTTGTTGAAAACTAGTAAAATAAAACTTGACAACAAGTTAAAGAATAAACAGTTTAAGCAGCAGAGTACTGCTAAGAAATATCGAAAAGAACAAAGAAAACTTAGACAAGCTGTCAAAGATGTTACATCCAGAACATCTGTTCCTTTGGAGGAATACAAAAACAAAAATGCAGGTGAGTGTTTGCTTTAAGTCAAGGTGGTGAATTTAACAAGATGTTGGACCTGCTTTGCATAGATGGGGGATTAGAGGTGACATCTAGTGAAACCAGAACTTAACCCAATAGTTACAAATAGTTTTTTATTCTGGTACTCCTATTAGTGAACATGTACAGGTTCTTGAGTCTTGACTTTCCTTTTTGTAGATTATTATCTGTCCGTTCTTTGCCACTGCATTAAAAGGGTTACTTGCATAGAGTCTGATGAGAAAATTGTAATAATGCTTACATTATTTTTATGCGAGAATAGAAGACTATGCAGTGCTTTATAAAATGAACTGCAGGAAAATTATGACATATTTTATCATAAAGACAAACTTATGCTTTAAATATTCATGCATTTTTTTTATTCCTGACCTCTCTGAGTTTTCTTACCTTCAAGAGTGCCTTCAAACATTATTCTCTGGATCAGTTTATGTTCAGTATTATGTTTGGAAACTGCACTGTTCACCTTCCTGTCTTCAGTTCCAAACTGATCCCAAGCCTGTTATTTTTCTGACTGTCAAGATTGTACATTTCTATAGACTCAGGCTCAAATGCTATTTTGAACCTGAAATCCTAACTATTCTCTTTTCTGAACAAACCCACATACCACTTAAGCATGTAAAAACTGTTCATATAGATTCCTTGATGATGCAGAATGCACATGACCTAATTTTTAATTTTATTTTTCTTAAAAAGAGAACAAAAAGCATGTTATTAACACTAGAAATATGAGGAAAAGAATGAATTGAGCATGATGCCCCAAACTAAATCCTCCTAGATTCTTCAAAGTCAGGTTAAATATGAATCAACAGTGTAACACAAACATAATTCAGGAGTGTTCTAAGTAAGGGCTTGTCTACACTGGAATGGTACTGTGGTGTGACTCTGTCTCAGGAGTGTGAAAAAACACCCATCCTCTCCCCCCACCCTTTCCCCCAGTGGTATCTCCATCATTGGGAGATTTTTAAGAGCAGGTTTTTTATAAAACATCTCTTTTAAAAAAAAAAAAAAAGTATCTCCAGTACCAACAGTTTTAAGACCCAATTTTTTTTCTACCATTGCAACACAATTGCTTAAACAACTTAATCATATCCGGATGGGTGATGAAATTTTTGGGTGTCAAAAGTACAAAAATAATAAAGCGCTGTAAAACTTAAAACAAAAATTCAGTTTTCTCCAAATTTCAGTTGTTGACGTACCCCCCAGACTTCTCTGAAGTACGTCTAAGGGTACTCGTACCATTGATTGAGAAACACTAGGTTAGACAAACACCTGTCTGGAACGGTTTAGATCTGTGGTGTCCAACCAGTTCTATAGTGGCCACTGCTATAGTGAACTAGTCAAAATCAACAGGCAGAATAGTCACATCGGTCAAGCCAACTAACTCCGCTCAACAGGCCAAATAGCCACATGTGGTTAGTGGCTAATGTGTTCAACACCACTGTTTTAGATAATACTTAGTCTTGCCACGAATGCAGGGGAATGAACTAGAAGATGTCTTGAGCTCCCTTCCAGTCCTATAGTTCTATGGATTGGCCTACTAAAATTGATGAGGCCCTTTTTATCATCTCTAGATATTGATTGTGGAACCAGGAAGACTTAAGGCTCTGAGTTTGCAAATACTTATGAATGTGATGGACTACTCATGAGAGTACAGTAGTCTACTATTGTTAATGGGTCTAATCACAGGAATAAAGTTCAGCATGTGTGTTCATAAGATTGGGACTGAAGTGTGGAGCTGAGATTTGTCCTGTGGACAAAAACAGGAAAGGTGCATTTGCAAGTTTGCATGCAAGTGCTTTGGCTCATAAGTGTGTCTTGTCCTCTGATACAGCTGAAAGAAAGAAGGAAGAGGAGGAAGAGGAAGCTCTTCCACTGGATATGATGGACGAAGATGACCTGAAATTAATGGAAGATTTGGCTCAAAAAGCATCATTTTTAACAAGAGACATTTCTTCTAGGTGATTATTCTCATGTTCTCTTATAGTCCATAAACTGTCATGAAGTTAATAATATTTCCAGTTTTAAACTTTACTTATTCGAGTCACACATTTTCTATTAACATTCGTCAACACAACTGTAGCTACCTTCTAATGCTGGGAAATGACTTTCTCCTAAGGTACCTTGTCTGCATAGTTATTGCTCCTGTCTCTGTTCTCTAGTGTGAGCCAGATGGAATCTCCAAAGCTCAGAATGCCTTTTGGTTTCTTCCCCCTACCTCAGGAGTGGGGAACCTAAGGCCCCAGGGACAGGATGCGGCCCCCGTCTTGCCTCAATACAGCCACCCCTACCCCCCCAGCATTGGCTAGCTTGCGTTGGCACTCCAGCCCTCCACCATTTCCCCAAGGGGCTGGAGCACACCAAATCTAATATCTTGGGCCCCCTAGGCTCTGGTGCGAGAGGAATGTGGGGAGTGTCTTTCTCCTTCTCAGGTGCGGGCCATGTCAGTGAGAGTTTGGAGATGTTTTTGCTTTTTACTTGTGTGCGGCCCCAACTGATTTTTCTGTGTGTCAGTGGCCCCTCAACACTCCCAAAATTCCCCATCTTTGCCCTAGTTGCTAGCACTGCCCATGGGAACCAATGTGATCACATGCTTTTGTGGACTTCCCTCCTCTGTCCATTGAACATTCAAATCAGTTCCTAGTTGAACTGGATACAAAGGCTTCCCCTGCAGTATTAAGCAAATCACCAGAATAGTTTGAAAAAAATCATGCAATGCAATGGACAGTAAACTTTGTAGGCAGATACAACACGGGAGGTGGAGGATGCGGGGAAGGGAAGTACCTACAACATCTGTGTGAGGGAGAGTGAGAGGGTGACTGAAAATCATGGAAGGTGATTTCTTTAGAGAAATAGAAACATAAGGTAATTTTTCATTTGCTGAAATGCAGTCTGTGCGGCATTCTTAGTCCTACAGAGGTGCAAAATTTTAGGGTCTTTTCTTTATTTCTTAGTATATTTTGGCAACCAGTAGGAAATGCCATTACCATGGAAGCTCTGTAATTAATAATCTTATCTAATTTCCAGTATAAACTTAACTTTTCTGTTTAATGGATTATACAAAAATTTCTTGAGGCTGGAATTTGAAATAGAAAATATCTGGGTCAGAGGACTTTATTTGAAAAAAAAAAAACCTGATTTAGAATTAATTTTGACTTTTTAAAACAAGGATGAAATTATATGCTTCCAATACTTATTTATGCTAATCCTAATTCAAGTGATTTTATTAAGTTTATAAGATATTAATCAGTAATAGCAATTTTTGACATACAAAGTTACAGCTCTCCTACATTCTGTCATGCTCTGTAAAATGCTGTAGCTGGTCTACAAGTTGTTAGCTAAGATACAGATTTCCAGCTGTGTTATAGAACAGCTGAAAAAGATCTTAAAAACTCTAAGCATGTATATTTATGGAATGACATTTTGCAAGCTGGAGATTTTTAGTCTGACCTATTTTCTTTTCGTTTTAAAGTCATTACATTGTTGAGATAAATATTTTAAAATTAACTACTCTACCAAATTTTTGTTGTTCTCATATTGTCTTCTAAACCACAGAATGTAGCATTTTCCAGATTAAAAAAATACCCATTCTTCTGCCTTTTATGCTTATCAGTTGTGAAAATTTCATAGAAACAATCTGGTCAAGATCCACAGAGGGACTTAGGTACCTAAGATCCAATTATAGACTCTATTACAACTAGCAAAATCTTCATTTGGCTGTGTGTAATACTGTGGGCACCTATATTCACTCAGTGCTTAAAATTTTGCTGTAAAAGTTCTCTAGGGGTTTAATTTGTGCCTCTGGGCATGTCTGCTGCCACACTCTTGGTGCCCATCTCCAGCGTGATCCATAATGTGGGGGGATGGTTCCTGTTTTAACTACAGCACTTACTTCAGTGCTCTGAAGATATCTACTATATCAGGTCTGATTTAAAATATGACCGGAGGTGGAGGGGTTGTGCCTGATGTATACGTTTGCAGTCTAATTGTTACTTAAATTCCTTGGGCTAGAGAAAAAGAGCAAGACACTTTGTAACCTGAAAGATGATAGTTGCAAGGTCCAGTTCCACCGCTCTAAAAGCTCTTTATTTATTGAAATAAATACATTATTTATTTATGGAACTCACATCAGACTGTCCCATAAAGCAGTGGTTAAAAAGTTCTCCAGAGAGGTGGGAGACATCTTTTCAAATTCTTCTTCACAGAGGAGGTAATTGAATCTAGGTCTCCCACATCCCAGGGGAGTGCTTTAACCATGAGTCTAAAAATTATAAGTAGGGCTCTGTCAGTTTCATAGCTATGAAGTACACATGGAATCTAGTCCTGTGTGCTTTTATCCTATACAGGCAGTCCCCGGGTTACGTACAAGATAGGGACTATAGGTTTGTTCTTAATTTGAATTTGTACGTAACTCGGAACTGGCTCCAGATTCAGCCGCTGCTGCTGAAACTGACCAGGGGCTGATTACAGGAAGCCCGAGGCAGAGTTGCTCTGCCCCCAGCTTCCTGGAATCAGCCTGATCAGTTTCAACAGCTGCTGAATC